ATTCATCTGTTTCGTTTACATGACTTCTTCCACTCATGCAACATATTTGCAGCTATTTGCACGGCAAATTATTCAATGCCAAAACACATCAACAAACGTAACCAAGAAGAAACATCATAAATAGTTTAAATTAATTCACAATCCATCTCCATATATAGCACTGGTATATAAATTGTGGGTTAAATATATGTGCATGTCTATGAATGTTTGATTTGGTTCTGTGTTAATTTAGTTTCTAGCACCCGGTACGGATCAAATCCAACGATCAATGTTTTTCTTGTTTCTCTGTTCATGAGTCATCTAAGAAATAAAAATTACTGCACAGTTTTTATTTGACATTTCTAGGGTTTCGTTTTTTCTTATCTGAAATGCTTTCTACATAAATATGAAGATCAGGAGGGTTGTGAATAGGCCCTGGCTATTGAAGAGCTTGATGTTTTTCTTTCAATTTTATGTAAGCAAATTTAGTTCCCTTTCATGGGATCTTCGAACTGTGTCCTCTAGGGGTCGCTATGGGGAACGCCTCATCGTGACCCGTGTCTGAAGCATACATTGAAAAAACACCAACTCGTTGGTCGGCGACAGCCATGACGTCTTACATAAGTAACCTGAGACGTTTTGCTTAGACATGCCCCGCCTCATTTGTTGCACAATTAATGCTTAAAAACAGAGACATGTTTTATATAATTAAAAAAAAAGAAAACAGCAAAAAAATTGTGAAAGTTTTGTAAATGAGCAGATATGATGATTAAATACACCGAATAAACTTGTGTTAAAGGCTTAAATATCAAAAGATGCAGATGAATGAATTTGAAGGCTTTTCTGTCTCCAGTGCTGTTATATGGCAAGAAAGTTTAACATCTATTACAGGATATAAATTATAGATGGCAAAATTCTGTGTACACCACTGATTAATGAGTTTGGCTATTGAAATAATTCCAGTGAGAACAACCTCTCAGTACTACAACATATAACGACATTCTAAAGAAGTGTGTTTCAAATTTGTTGTAACAATCCCGGGAGTTCTTTTTTTTCTTTGTGATGGAACAGAAGTCCTTCATACCTTTGGCCAGCGTCCCGAGTGGAGTGGGTGTGTGTGAAGAGGGACACTGGGACAAAAAGGGTTAGCAGTGTATGATGTGGCTCACCTGAAGTTAATGGAGAACCCTCACCACTGCCTTTACAATGGTCTTTTTTCGCAGGTCAAGGAAGGGAACTGGGATAAATTTCCATGCAACCATCAACCTCCCACCTTTCTATTTTTTTACTATTTAAAATGTATTATAAAGCAGAAGTCTAATAATTGTTGTAGCTGGCATCTACATGTTACTAGTAAGAACTTCCATTGAAATCCATTTTGCGAACTGCTCGTCCAGTGTCGGGTCACATGCTGAGGCCTATCCCAGCATCTCGCGCTGTACGCAGGGTAACAACCTGGGTGCATGGCTAGTCACATTATACAAGTATGTAATTAATTATAAATATCGGTCATTGCTTTTAGAGTCAATTATAGAAAACTGTGAAAATTCAGTTACTGGTAGGCTATCAATAATTAAATAACGTTTTATTATTTTTTTTTTAATAGAAATCGCATTTTATAGCCTATAGGCTACAAAACATTGGGATGAACTTCATTAGGCATACCAAAAATTCTTACTAATGCAACGTTTTTTTTTTTACTTAGCATTTTGACAGAAAATAATGAAGTTATTTTAATTGAATTAGCCTATATTAATTATAATTCAATTCTGCAAGTGATTAGATGTTAAACCTGCTTGAAGTCATTTTTCTAAGTAAGAGATATACCATCTATTGGTTAAAAGATACGATGCCCGCTATTCACACAGCACCTGCTGCTAACTAATAAAGAATTTACTTTCACTTAAATACAGTGAGCATCAAATACTCAGTGATCATATCATGTGTTAAAGCAGTGATGCAACCCACACTTATGAAGATCTTCATCACACCTAACCCACACTTCTGAAAGCACAGTGTAATAAATGGGATGAGCTTTCTCCACACAACCCACGAGAGCAGTACCGGCTTCCTCATCTCAACACCAGTCTTCTTTACTACAGCTTTACACAAGTGTCCCTGCATGCAGAGACGCATTTACCTTTTCGATGACAGCCGTGGTGACGCGCTAATATTCAGCCCGTCGTGGAGATATTTATCCTTATTTCAGTGGGATATCGAGTCATTTCTGTCTCAGAGACTCAACATGGCTGTTTGAGAACGGCTTTAAGAGCGCACGCGCCAAACATCAGATAGGCATATGCTGACTGATTTAGACTAACATTTTTTCTTTTTTAAACAAGCACAAATGGTTCGATTCCAGGGGATACAGCATGTATAGCCTGAATGCAATGCAAATCTCTTTAGATAAACGTATCTAGCAAATTCATAAATGATTTAAGTGATTAATTTCTTATAGACATGGCAGAAACGTCATTGCATTTGTAGCCTATGTCAAAGCCATATTGCACCAAAAATGTATATAATGTTTCTTGGCACATTTTGACATTATATATATATATATACACACAGTGGTGTGAAAAAGTGTTGGCCCCCTTCCTGATTTCTTATTTTTTTGCATGTTTGTCACACTTTAATGTTTCAGATCATCAAACAAATTTAAATATTAGTAAAAGATAACACAAGTGAACACAACATGCAGTTTTTAAATGAAGGTTTTTATTATTAAGAGAAAACAAAATCCAAAACTACATGGCCCTGTGTGAAGTGTTTGCCGCCTAAACCTAATAACTGGTTGGGCCACCCTTAGCAGCAACAACTGCAATCAAGCGTTTGCGATAACTTGCAATGAGTCTGTTACAGCGCTGTGGAGGAATTTTGGTGCACTCATCTATGCAGAATTGTTGTAATTCAGCCACATTGGAGGGTTTTCGAGCATGAACCGCCTTTTTAAGGTCATGCCACAGCATCTCAATAGGATTCAGGTCAGGACTTTGACTAGGCCACTCCAAAGTCTTCATTTTGTTTTTCTTCAGCCATTCAGAGGTGGACTTGCTGGTGTGTTTTGGATCATTGTCCTGCTGATATATATATATATATATATATATATATATATATGAGGAGAAATGTGGCTCAATAAACCTGAATTAATTTCTTATGTGTGTGTGCCTGCAACTTTTTTAGCCTTGAGTTTTCACAATTTAAATTCTGTGCATGTGGTCACCTATTTAGTACATCAAGTGATCCAATGAATGTCACCCAAAAATGAAAATTTGCTGAAAATGTTCTCATCAAAGATGTAGATGAGTTTGTTTCTTCATCAGATTTGGACAAATGTAGCATTACAGCTCTTGCTCACCAACGAATCCGCTTCAGTGAATGGGTGCCGTCAGAATGAGAGTCCAAACAGCTGATAAAAACATCACAATAATGCACAGTAACACTTCCTCCACTGATCCAGATGAGATTACTTTTTTTTTTGCTGGAGAAAGCAATATTATGGATAGAGGACTCATATTTAAGTCAGAAGAAAAGTTAAACATGTCTTGATGCATGTTTCTTACAACCGTGCAACTTTTCTCTTCACAAGACATTAACTGATGGACTGGAGTGGTGTGGATTACTTGGATTATTGTGGTTTTTATCATCCAGACCATCATTCTGACAGCACCCATTCACTGCAGAGTGAGCTAAATTTCTCCAAATCTGTTCCGATGAAGAAACAAACTTTTGTTTGAACTCTTTCAACATCGAGTAAAATCAGAAAACCGAGTTCACTTGTGATTATTTTTGTAAGGTGTTGTATACAGTTGTGGTTGTAAGTTTATACACCCCTTGCAGAACCTGCCAAATGTTTCTAATAGTTTCTGATACAAATTAAATTTCTTCATACTATCACAAATAAGCTATTTCACAACATATATTAAGTCCACAAGACAAAATAATAACAGAATTGAAACAATGAAGTAGTTAAAAAGTGGACATACCTTTGATACTGTTGTTAGCTGAATGATCAGTGCTTGTATGTTTTGTGATTGTTCATGAGACCCTTGATTACCCTGAGCAGTTATACTGGCCATTGTTCTTCAGGAAAGTCCTCCTGGTCCCATTTTCATTGTTTCTCCAGCATCTTCTGCATATTTGATCCCTTTCAAACAATGACTATAAATAACTGAAATCATGTTTTTCAAACAGTTGTGAGACTCAATTCAGTTATTTATCCTTGTGTACAATATTCAAACATCTGTTATGTGAAATAGCTTATTTAAGGCAGTACATCCTCCCCCCCTTCTTTTTTAATTATTAAAACTTGCTGTTCCTGCAAGGGTTATGAAAACTTACTGCCCACAACTGTTCACTGAAGTGGGAGCAACATGAAGCAAGTTTGTCAGTTTTTGTTACAGATTGTCCAGCACAGCATAACTGACCGGTAATCACCTTGTTGATTTTATAAAACCTAAAATGCAACAAATTTTAATTTACAATTTATCTAATTTGCCTAGAATGTATTGACCACAAAATTAATAAGTGTCCATGGTGTCAAAGCTCTCAACAGCTCAATGGAAAATATAATGCTAAAATTGTAGCCCTAGCACCAAACTAAAATAAATAAATAAATAATAATAATAATAATATAATGAGCCATCGACCTTCAACCATCTGTCTTATTGTTTTCTCTGAATATTAAGATGGGATAGAATACATCATAAAAAACAAATCGCACATTTCATCTTTGCTGTTGTAAACATTTTCTATTACTGAGCTTATGGTATTATTTATTTATAACTTTTAACTAACTGAAGTGACCTAAAGCTGAGAGAGCCTGAAGAAAGTAATGAGACACCATTCAAGACACAACCCATAGATTAAACAGTGAAGACTGTTGACTCAAAGGCTAGAAAAAGATGGAAAAAAAAAGATAAAATCTTAATATTCCCACCACACAGCACGTTACATGATGGCACAAATTCATTTGCACTTGCAGAACTATTCTCAAATGAGGGCACACAAATTACACTCAATAAGATCATTTGTTATTTTTACAATTTGCATGTATAACAAATAAACGTTTAAAAAAAGATTAGAATGATGTACAGTATTCTGCTGTGCACACCACTACATCCATCGGTTCTGTCCAATGGGAGCTCCTGAAGCAGGACTGCTCATTGGCTGCTGCAGCACATGGGGAGTGGTCAGGAATAGAGAGGGATTCTCATGAGTCCAGAGAGGAGGAAGAGGAGGAGGAGGAGGAGGAGGAGGAGGAATGCTCAGCCTTGCGTGTCTGAATGTTTTCTGGATGAAGGTAGAGAGGATGACGGAGAAGCTCTGGGCTCAGTTGCTGTAGATCTGTCCTTCGGGAGGCTGCGGCAGCTTCATGTTCTCTTTGCACATCATGAGTCGTCGCAGCTCCTGCAGAACCACACGGATGCTGTATGAATTCTGCCACTTGGCCAGTGATGATACAGCTCGCATGTCGACCTGCGTCAACCAAAGACATGCAGACAACGCATTAAACAGTGCAATAATAATAACAAAAAAAGACAGAGAATTTGGTTGGTTTTTGAGGTTTTCGAAATAGTCCTACAGAACTGACCTATCTATACGTCCATTCAATTTGAGAATCCCTGAATGCTGAATCCCTGACAATTTTCAAGCGACAGCTGAAAACTCATCTCTTTCGACGCTACTTGGAAAAAACAAAACAAATAAACGTTGTCTTTCTCTATTTATTCCTTCCCTTTCTAGCTTGTACTTATTTGAACAATGCCTGAAACTTGATATTACGAGTACTTCCTGTGTCTGTTTGCCTCTTTAAGAAGAATCGCTTTATGTATTCCCCAATTGTAAGTCGCTTTGGATAAAAGCGTCTGCAAAATGACTAAATGTGAGAAAAAAAAAAAATGGTACACAGCAAAGCTGGAATACACAAAGGTCAAAGGTTACGTACAAACACAGCAGAGCACATTCACAACATAACAGCAGTAAATTATCATCAATTGATTAGACTTCCTTTTTGATTACTTCATTTAATAAAACCACTAAAGGGATAGTTCACCCAAAAATGAAAATTCTGTCATTAATTACTCACCCTCATGCCGTTCCACACCCCTAAGACCTTCGTTCATCTTCAGAACACAAATTAAGATGTTTTTGATCAAATCCAATGATTCAGAGAGGCCTCCATTGACAGCAACGCCACCCAAACTCTCAACCCGTTCGTCGGGTTCATAAGGCCTTCTAGAAATTACATCTTTGTGCTTGAAACAAGGTCTCTCACATTAGTAATAAAGTACATTAAGCAAAAGTTAATATTAGTTGTCCTCTATAGTTGATGTAGTGATATGCGATCAGATGTTTCACATCATATCTATCAATATATTGTGCATTTTATAACTTTAATGGCTGTATCTAGTACCAGAACCATAAATCAAATCACCTCACTTTAGGGATGCACGATATTGGATTTTTGCCGATGCTAGGGTAGATATGCTAGGGCTGTTAAAAATCTCGATTTTTCCAGAATGTTTGATCGATTCTCGATTTTTTACGATTTTTAACTAGTCAACTTGAAAATGTAACTACAACATGATTCAAGTTACTTTTTCTTTATTAACCCTCTAGTTAAAGAAAACTATTTCAAGCGCAGCACACATGAAGTTGTCAACATGGTGTAAATGTTAAACAAATCACTTGTTAAATATCTTTGCAGAAAAGATGCAAAAACTACAACTACATATTGTACAAACCTGTCTTATACATGTTATGTGTTCAGAAATAATACGAGGAAAATTTCAAGGAAAATCTCAAGGTAATTCAAATTCAAAATGACTGAAGGTATAACACCAGTAGACTTCTATTAACTATAAATGTTCTTCAAAAACAACAGCAGCTTTCAGCCTGTCACCATGATGCAAACATGAAATATCAGACATACAGTAGTAGTTCTTCACAGGTTTTTTTATTTGATTGCGCTGCTTTTCCATTGTTTGTTCTGTGTAAACATGGATGTGTTTGACTGTTACGCTCGCGTCTCTTCCAGTGTCTCACGCATGAAACGCCATTCTAAAAACACTGCGCTCAAGTTAAAATAAGTTAACTCCCATCTTCTTGCATGTTGGATCATTCTATTCTCTTTACGGTTATCACCGTCATATTGTCAAAGTGTCTAATTCTAACATTTGGTAATATTTCTATTCAAAATCGCGATTCCTTGATTTCTAAAAAATAAAATTGTGGCAAAACAATAAATTCTAATTAATCGATAAAATCGGGAAAACCGCCCAGCCCTACGATATGCCGATATTTTTCAACTCATTTTGGCCGATAGCCGATATATTTCCTTTTGTTTGGAAACACCAAGTCTCTCCTGTGTGGAAATTATAAGCAAATTCTTTTTACTTTTGGTTAGTTTTTAACAAGCACTTATTTGTTAGAATTAAATAAACAATAATGAAGTTCTTTTAGAATGACAGTACATTGAAGCTTTGAAGTGAAGTGTATCTCACAGAAGTGAGTACACCCCTCACATTTTTGTAAATATTTTATATTTTTCATGTGACAACACTGAAGAAATGACACTTTGCTACAATGTAAAAGTAGTGAGTGTACAGCTTGTATAACAGTGTAAATTTGCTGTCCCCTCAAAATAACTCAATGTCATTTCTTCAGTGTTGTCACATGAAAAGATATAATAAAATATTTACAAAAATATGAGGGGTGTACTCACTTCTGTGAGATACTGTATCAATTAGTGCATTGTTTTTCAGAAAGATGCAGTGGTAACCTTAGAATTTTATTTTAAGATTTAACATTTGTAGATGGTCTAAAGCAAAATACCTGTAAAAATTCATAAAGTCTTTTAGAGCTCATAATTTGTTTTAAATATATAACATATACATTAATGAATAAATCAGTATATATAAAATTATTTAATTTACAAATGTCATGTTTGTGATTTTTTTTTCTCTGGTGAACTCCATGCCCAAGAGGGTTAAGGCAGTGCTGGAAAATAATGGTGGCCACACAAAATATTGACACTTTGGGCCCAATTTGGACATTTTCACTTAGGGGTGTACACTCACTACTTTACATTGTAGCAAAGTGTCATTTCTTCAGTGTTGTCACATGAAAAGATATAATAAAATATTTACAAAAATATGAGGGGTGTACTCACTTCTGTGAGATACTGTATCAATTAGTGCATTGTTTTTCAGAAAGATGCAGTGGTAACCTTAGAATTTTATTTTAAGATTTAACATTTGTAGATGGTCTAAAGCAAAATACCTGTAAAAATTCATAAAGTCTTTTAGAGCTCATAATTTGTTTTAAATATATAACATATACATTAATGAATAAATCAGTATATATAAAATTATTTAATTTACAAATGTCATGTTTGTGATTTTTTTTTAAATGTATGCAAGTTATAGCTTCTGACCTTTAAATCAAAACATACTCATCATCAGGGCAGGACTTACGGGGCCGGGGGCCCCTGGGCTTGAGGTTATGCTTGGGCCCCATACCTATACTACAAATGCCCTCAACTAGAACATTGAGTAACACAAAATACACAAATTAAAATATGCTTTCAGATTCATATACTGTATACAATTAATAGGCAACATGTCTAGCCTAGTCAAAGTTTAGATGTAATATTAAATAGTCA